CTCAGGGGCGGTTTGTTCAGGCCGTGTGTGATGCGTCGCTTAATGTCCGAGTATGTAATGTGTCCGCCTCAGTTACATGCGGGCTGAACTGTAGCCTTACAAAGGCGGGTTTCCTCGCCCTTGCCTTAAACCAACACAGTTACGGGGAGCTTCGCCTGTAGTTACAACAAGTAACAGGAGTTTGACTTCAGGATCGATAACACTGTTCTAAACGTTGTCACTTTGACCTGTATCATACCCTTTCAGAAACCCGTAGGGCATGGAAGGAAGGTTGCTTTACCAGATGCCTCCAGCTGTGATCTTGTGCATGGGGGGAAACTGTTAGTACTGTGATGTATCAGAAGTTGTGAACACTTGCCTTAACAGTGCCTGCTCTAATGACAGCGCGTGAATGATTAATGATGACAGGAGGGCAGGTCAGGAACAGCACTGAGAGAAGAGTAAGCTCACCTTCTGTTAAGGAAAAAAAAAAAAGTTTTCTAGGAAAAGACTGCTGAACTGGTAGGGGACTTGTGTTTTTATCAAGCACTGTCTCTTAGCGAATGGAAAACTATAGGTCTTTGAAAACTGAGATTTAATGTGCTGATAGTTTCATGGGGTCAGACGTCTGCGAGTTAATTTGTATAAAATATTTTAATAAAATAGAATGCTGCATACAAGAATGAAAACTTCTCTTTCAGAAGAGATTAGATTTGTCCAAGGTGTGCATGCACAACAGTATTTGCTTTTTATTTGAAAATGCAAGCTTTTTAAACATTTTGATAGAAATATGGTCTGTGTTCTAGGAGCTGGGAAAACAACTCTTCTAAATTACATATTGACAGAACAGCATAACAAAAGAATAGCAGTTATTCTGAATGAGTTTGGAGAAGGTACGTAAATGTGAAGAAGCACTTTTTTAGCACTAAAATGACAAATATACAAGATTTATGGAAATCAAGAATGTAGTTATAAATTCGTTACTGAAATAATTTACATACCTCATCGCCTTCAGAAGGGCAAACAGGCATTTGGTTGGTGTCCATACAATAACACTATGCAGTAATCTGTTTTGCACGTAAATTCTGTCCTCCAGAGTCAAGTACATTGATGTATCACACTGTTGGAAGTGCTGTACCTCCATTTGTCCTACTCGGTTTCAAGCAAATGAAACTAAAATTTCAACAGTATGTTAGTGGAGAGTAATTTCTTTTCTTTCCCTTCCCCTCAGCCACTTACAGATGGCATATTATTTTAGACCAAGGAGATGGGGAGACGTGTTCTTGGTGTCTGTGGTTCTTTGAATGTTTTGCTTTCCTTCTCAGGGCTTTTAACTGTTAACGGCTATACTGTTGTATCTCTATGTCAGCATTGCTTAAAGTTTGCACTGTGTTGTTAGTGGGTGTTTTGTTTGTTTTATCAAGAAAGATGCATGCCACTTTTCTGCTCATGAGGTCTAAAATAAAATATATAGACAGGGTCTTTATTTTATATGGAGGTATAGGCTGGCTATGCTTTCTTTTACCAAAGTTTATGCCACTTTATGCTGTACCATCATCCTTTGGGTTTTGTCTTTGTACAACCAAATTGACTTTGGCTTTTAAATTTGTTGTAAACCAGAAAATACTAATTTCTAAAGAATAGCAGAAACGTAGTTTCAGAATAAAAATTATCCAAGAGTGAAAATGCATACTGACTGGAGTATTTCCTCTCTCTTTTTCAGGCATTGCCATGCAAATTTATAGATTAAAATTACAGTACTACTTGTATTTCCAGGAAGTGCCTTGGAGAAATCTCTGGCAATCAGTCAAGGGGGAGAACTCTATGAAGAATGGTTGGAGCTCAGAAATGGCTGCCTGTGCTGTTCAGTGAAGTAAGTAAGGCCTATTGTACAAGTTCTTACTGTGGGTTTTGGGGGAATTGAGGAAAAGAAGCATCCAGGACTTGATTTCTAAAATTTGTGGTAGTATTGATTGACATTTCTTTTGCCAGCTAAAAGAAGAATTGGAATTTGGGAGATAGAAATTTATTTCCTTTAGATTATAGAAATTTATTTCCTTTGGATTTGGGCTTAGAGTCTTTTTCTGAAAAATAACATATATACCAACTTAAACATCATTGGGTATTGTAGAGTAGGGAGCTTTTCCTCTTTTCTTAGTATTATGTGTTTTATACAGAGAGCTAACGGTTCAGGGAGGCTGGAACAAGGACTCAAGTTTCTTAATTTCCACAGTAGTTACTCTTTGTGTTTCTCTCTGTATGTTGGCTAATACTTGAATCCTGTATATCTCAAAAAGGATGGAGGGAAAACCTCTTGGTGACCTAAAAACCACAATATTCCAAGCTTTAGGCTGATGTTCACGTTAAAAAGCAGGAGTGTAGTTGTTTCTTTGGCATGTTTTTACCCTGTTTGTTTGAATGCTGGATTGCTTGTGCTAAGTGTGTAGTAAAGGTAACAAATTGCCTGTTTGTCCAGAATATTTTGAAGAACTGGTCCTGTGCCTTAAATCCGGATAGTAAGTAGAAAACAGAAGACACTGTTGCATTAGTTTCCTATATAAAAGGTCTTATGTTTCTGCTTCAGGCTACCTTAATCAGCTGAAATTTAAACAAATGACACATTTTAATTTTGCTGTAGGTGAGGTGGAAACGCAGGACAACGTGGTTGAGTACTCCCACCCCCCTTCACACACCCTCTTTCTTTTTGTGGTGCCAGACGCGAAACCAAATACTTACCTATTTATACAGTCCTAATGTCTTTTACAGGGTTTTCAGTGTTTAAAACAAATCTTCATTTAAATCACCTTAGTAAGCCTGTTGGGAGTAGGCAAATACTATTTTCAAGTTATAATGAAGCGAAGTTATTTGCCTAATACAAAGCAGCAGCTTGATGACTGAATTTTCATTATAGGCTGTAAGTCCTGACTCAGGCCTCTGCTTTGATCATACTGATGCTGTTTTCTGCATCAGAGGATATGTGTTTATACATGTTTTAGCTTGTCTTCTCTGTTCTAAAGTTCACTTGTTTCTTCTTACAGGGACAGTGGTGTGAAGGCTATTGAGAACCTCATGCAAAGGAGAGGAAAGTTTGACTATATATTGTTAGAAACAACGGGTTTGGCAGATCCAGGTAATTAACATTATGGCTTTCATAACTATGATAATTCTGGTTTTATGAAGTGCTTGTTGCTCACCAGTCAGTTCGCCGTGCAAAATGTCAAGTGGCAAGTTGTCAGGCACATGCTTTTATTGCTATATAGACTAAAAACGAATTGCACAAGGTGCAGAAGCGGGGTTGTTTCATTGGATGTTCTGTTTCTGTTTTTGAACTTGCTCTAAGTTGACTCCAAAGCTTTACAGAAATCTGGTTAAACTGTATTTCTATCAAAGAGGAGACACTGAGCTTGGAGAAAAGAAATGCTCTGAAACTAGTAGTTTACAGTATGATTTGTTTGTTCTACACTGGTCTTTTTAAAGTATAAATTGTCAGCATCTGGTGTATTGTTACATTGGTTGTGGTAGGCCTTGTATTTTGTGAAGTAATAAAATATGCTGTGAAACAGGCTAGTAGTACATTCTTTTGGTAGGTACAGAGCAATAATAGGTCTCTCAAATTCATTGACTGCTATTTAGTGATACTTGTTATGAGAAGGTCTTTAGACTTGAACTCATGTTAGTAACACTTCTCTGTGAAAGTGTTAAAACACTTCTCTGAACCATCTCAATTAAGAAGTGTGTTGTTGATTGAGAGTGAAGGAGATTCTTACCAGAAATGTAGTTGTTTCCCGTTTAGGAGACTGACACTTTCAAGCTCAAAGTTAAGTAGTTGTCATAGTGAAGTAATTTTCTTCAAAATAAATTGATTTGGCCTCCGTTACACACAAATTCTATTTGAGTCAAATGGGAAAACTTACTAAGGTTTTTGGAAAAAAATCCATAGATACCAGAAAACCATCAGATGTTGTGGCCCTTGCTATGTCTTGAATGAGCAAGCACTGTGAACAACTGGCAGATATTTGGTGTTGATACAGAGTGATGTTTGGATGACTGCATCTTGTCACTTCAGGTGGACAGTTTTAGGGGTTAGAATGAGTTTGTTTTTACAGTGTCATTTTAGCAGAAAACAGGAGAGCACAGATGTGGTCTAGTGCACAGATGCCAGGTCACAAATTCAGAGCCCTTAATAGACAGACAACATTCTAGTTGTCCAAACACTTGCCGATTCTTTTTGCTCAAGACGTATCAGATTAGTATGTTCCATTTTACTTTCCAAAGAAATACAAATGACTACACAAGGAAGAGAGAGTGCTACGTGTTTCATTATTCTAGAAGCACCTAATCTGGATGGAAATGCAGTGGATGATGAGGCCTAGTGTGTAAAAAATACTGGAATCACATAATCATAGAGTAGTTCAGTTTGGAGGAAATGTTAAGGAGGTCTTTGGTCCAATCTCCTGCCCAAAGCAGGGTCAGCTCTAAGACAAGACCAGGTTGTTTGGGATAGCAAGGCATGTATCTCTGTCCTCTGAGGATAAACGTGACACAGCCTCTCCAGGTAACCTGCTCTTTTCATGGTGAAAAAAGATTGAAGCTGTCCCTTCTCCAGGTTGAATGAATTCCAGTTCCCACACCTCTCTTTAATTGGCTTGTTCTCCAGCCTTAAGTGTCTTGGTGATTCTAACACTGAACTTGCTCCATTTTATTGATGACTTTTGGAATCCTTATGCTGACATTACTAGCCAGATGTGCATAATAAGTATAATGCTTTGGTAGCTGTTGTTACATAAAATGTGTGGTTGGGTATTTGACGTCTGTGATGCTTTCTGAGTTTGGAAGAGTGAAGTTTCAAGTACAGCACTACAAATAGAGTTTCTCTGTGAAATGTTTGAATATTGATAGTTTACTGAAAAATGTCTATTTTGAGAGTAAGTGTACTGCTCTTCTTAGGCGCTGTAGCCTCCATGTTCTGGGTTGATTCTGAGCTGGGAAGTGACATCTATCTTGATGGTAAGAAGTGAAAGCTTGTTTTCCAATGTACTGGCATTACATACCTGGATTTAGTGTAATGTATTCTTGTCATTTAAGGCAACGTTTCAGGAAATGTTTCAAAAGCATCAACTTGCTTATTATGATGCTTTTTTATCTACTAGGTGAGGTGTTTCATTTTGATAAATTCAACAAAAGTTGTGTGATATTTTACTAAGGGATCAGATATAGAGACATCTTGACTGTGGTACAAGGCAGGGGAAATACCTCATTAGTTAGTTGTTTACAAACATTATTTCAAAGTAATATTACAGCTCTCTTTATTATTTTTTTCCAATGCAGTATTTCCTGAATTTTGCTTCCTTTTTTCTGAACTCCTAGCCTATCAACATCTGGACTCTCCTGCCTGTTGCTTTTGCTTTCTTTGTCTGTTGTACCAATTAGCTCCACTATTTGCTGTGTTCCTTTAAAAATATGAGTTTAATGTAAATCATCACCATATGTAGTTAAAGAGTGTATTGAATTTGCTTTATTATTTTTTAAAAATGTAGGTAAAAAAACTTGAGCTTGAAGAAGTCCTACTAATACTGTAAAATACCCATCCGGCCAAGGAAACATGCAGTTGAATAGGGAACAACTTTCTAAGTTTCTGCCAGAGAGTTGCCATTTTAGGGTCACTTATAATCACAATAAATGTGTACCTCAGTCAGTCCCTTTAAGTTGTTTTAATAATTTTTAACAGCATACCTCTGCCAATTTGATGTTGTGGAAGAAGGAGGGTGACATCCATCATGTGAGAATTTCTCTCACCTGCTTTCATAGACATTTTTTTACTACAAATATGGGTAATAAATAAGAAACTGATTAGGTGGCAGATCTAATGTTCAGGTTAACTGGAAGCATTGAAAGTATTATCTGCAGTTGTAAATGTGATTAAACTGTTACTTCAGAAATTATATAGGGGGTTTTACAAGTTGGCTGCTTTCAGCAGATTTCTGTTTAATTTTAAGGATCTCTTTTAGGTATTATATCTGTTATTGACGCAAAGCATGGATTGCAAGTAAGTTACTGAATTTGTTGCATGGTTTAAAACTAGTTATTAGAACACGTATTGCAATAGTGTTCATTCAGATGAGTTACAGTTTTATAATTGCTGTAATTCTCACAACGAATGAGGATGTATTTCTGTTGCTGTAGTTTGTTAGTACAGTATTTTGAATAGGAGCAAGGAAGTACCAATATTAAGAGGCATTCAGATTCTTACCAGCACCGTAGCATGCCCGATAGGAGTTGTCAGGTTGCTATACTTGACTCCTAGTTCTGTCACTTCACTGGGGGATCTTGGTTGTGTTCCAAGTGGGCATTTGGATTACTGTAAAACAGTGTCATTGGTCTGTGTGACTTGAGTAAGAACAGATCTCTTGATACTAGTGTGGTATCGAGTAAGTTAGGGCTCAAATGGGTAAAGGTGCTACTGTAGTGGCAACTATGGTGAGGGGAGATGAGAGAGCCAGGTGTTGAATTACCATGACTTTATATGGGAACAGAGAAAACAAGCAGGTATTCATCTAGATAAAGTGTAATGTGTGAGCAGACATATAGAACACTGAGGCTGGGTAACAGCCATAATTGAGATTAACTTGAGTATTTAAACTTATTTTGTAATAGCTAGTCATAAAAATAATTATTTGCAATGTAATAACTTGCAGAGTACTTTGATTAGTTATTGATTTTGCAGGATTCAAAGTAAAAGTGACCATAAGAGAAGATGCCTCCACGGTATAAAAATCCCATCATGCTGTGAAAGTATAATTAATGTCTCTGTATTTTACAATGGCTGCAAAAAGCTGAGAGAACCAAAAGATAATGGTTAAAAAATAAGGAAGTGATCCCTTATTTTAAAGACTTTATTTTTGTTGGGACTGTGGATTTCTTGTTTCAGTTGAGTTGATGAAACAGCTGATTTACTGAAAGGGGGCAGTCCTGTCATCCCCTCAATTTGGGTTGCACTAATCTTAACTAATCTAACCCTATGGCAGACCAGTTTGGCGAGTTAAGGTGTGTTTTGCAAGGACTTTTTTGAAGGAGTTGGGAGAAGAGCAAAGGGAAGGGGCCGAGAGCTGGTTTATCCTTTTAAGCATGAACCAACTCTTAAACCACCTCAACTACCACAAGAAACCACAGCATCTCTTAGGTCAGCCCCTTTTTCAGCTGACTGTCCCCATACTAATTCTGATGTGTTTATTACTTGCAAAAATGTTGTTCTGTCTTCATTCAATGCAGATTTATCAGCTTGAATTAAATATAAATATGTTGCACACAGCAGAGCTGAATTACAGTTGTTTAAAAAATAATATTTTTAATATTAAACTTTCAAGTAATGTCAGAAGCAAAAACATTTAGAAACATTCAGCTTTTCTATCTATTACTGTATTTGACAGCTCGTGGAAAACTTACGTTACTTGATTAGTTAGCCTGTACAAAACTCTCATCAACTCAGAATAAAAAAATCTTCACACATGCTCAGATGCCAACTGGTTGCTATGCTTGACCTTAGCAGCTTCTTGTGATTGAAATAATTCTAAAATCCATACAGGTGATGACATTGAGATAATAGGAAGCAATGTAAGGGTGTCATGCTTCAAGGGACCAACTCATCACAAGAAAAGCTGACAAATAGTGCCCTGTGACCAGTCAGCCAAATTGAAACTGAAGTGGTAATTGGCATAATGGGATATTGCTATAATGGGTTTGTCACCCAGCAATCTGAAGTACTTTTTTAAATCATGGGCAGACAGTTGGACAACTTCAAGTGACAATTCTCTACTTTCAGGACTTGACATCTGTGCTAGTGGCAGTGTTCTTTTCAGGGTGACAAATCTGACAGCATTTAATTAAATTGAATCAGTACACAGAAGATTACAAAAAAAAGTCAGAGGTTCACTCCCAGTCAGCCTGTTGTTATGCTCTGTTTTGGTTGGGCACAATCAGGAAGTAGTTGTTTGTGTTTTGTGCTGGGTTTTAGGTGTGTATGTTTTGGTTTGTTTTTTTCCTATGACAATTAATTCCACTTCCATTTGGTGTTCTTATGTATTTATAGCCAAATTTAAAAATAATATTCCTGGTACATTTAGAGCTGATGAATGAATGCAAAGAATTTTAATCTTCCCAGATATGTCAGGAATAAGATCGAAGCTGTTAGGAATATCACAACAACAGTTTAAAATTTTGCTGCCTCCACGTGTCTGTGATTCTTCTGTCCTAGTTTACTGCCTCCATGGCAGAGCAGGCAGAAAATAACTTGCAGCTGAACCTTGGCTGCTTCAGTGTAAAGTTTGTTGCTCTGTTTAAGTTATTTATGAAAGTAAGATGTTCCGTTTCCAAATTTGACACTGCTGCTTGAGTTACCAGCACATGGGTACAACACAAAGCTGCAGGTGTTTAAGATAGTAAACTCCTGCAGCATGACTAGAAGCTGCTGCTTAAATTGGTGCTGATGGATTGTTCTGCCCAGCTGCAGCTTGAATAGGCTGCAAACACTGATGCTTGGGCAGGCTTGCCAAAGAGGAGTAATTCGTAGAAACCAGGAATAAGAGTTATGAATTTTTAATATAAATGTACAGTCTGTCAGTTCTTTCAGAGAAAAAGAGTATTCAGTTCTGTGTAGGAAGTCTTGTACTGCAAGCCTAACTCATGTTTAACTTATTAGAAAAATTACTGTACATTCATTTTTTTCAGATATGGTTTTCCATGGTTACTTTATGTCATGGCAACTTTTACTTCATCATAAATCTGAAAAGTAATTAAAAATAAACACTATAATAGAGTTTTCCAAGTCTGCGGCATTCTAGTAATAAAAAGAGTTTTCATAAAAGAGATTATAGGCTTCTGAAATACATAACTCAGATGAATTGGTTTTGACTTCCTTAAACTGCAAATGAAATTAAATGTCATTTGAATATTCTTAATCCAATTGTTTTTATTTTTATCTAGCACTTGACAGAGGAGAAGCCAGAAGGCCTTATCAATGAAGCATCTCGGTATGGATATATATAAATTAACTTTGTATATCACAGATAGGAACTGTGCTGTATGGAAGTTCATTACAAATGGCTTTTCTTCTTTTACAAGGCTTTTCTCTCTTCTGTTGCATTTAAGCCTAGGCGGATTGGTGTAATGAGGTAGAAAATAGAAAAGTGACTTCATGCTCCATTTGATCTTTCTGCTGAGATCTTACTCTTCTGATACTTACTTTAAGAGGAATGTTGTTTTACATACGTGAAGGAAAACTAGCTGTGTTGAGGGGAAGAAAGATTTGCATGCTGGAATCTCCCTGTGGTCAAAGTAGAACCAGTGATAGAGGAATAATTTTTGCTAGATACGGAGCCATAGTCATTAACGGTTATTGTAAGAAAAGAGACTTCAGGTATGACTTTGTGAAGAGTATATAAAAGAGAAATAGGGGCCTCAGAGGTTCATAAATTACAAAAAATTGCAGATTAGATAGTGTCTTTTTTAAAAACAACAACAAACCAAATGACCCAAAACCAAAAAAAACCCCAATAAACAAAATCTAGGAAGCCTTTGCAGCTTGGTGGACTCTTATGACACAGGAAAGCACCTCAAGAAGACAGTAGTACTTTAGTCATACTCCATGATGTTCAAGTTTGATTAATGCTTGCCTTTCTGTACTAACAATGCTCATATTATTTTCTTGGTGCTATGGGAGAGGAGGTGGTGTTTTTGTCTTACAGAAAAATTATTAATGTGGGTTTGGTTTTTTTCCCCACTAACACATAGGCAGGTGGCATTGGCTGATCTTATAATCATCAATAAGACAGATTTGGTTTCAGGAGAAGAACTGGATAAAGTCAGAACATCTGTCAGGTATGAAAATTCTGGCATAACTGTAACTATACTGGCTCAAAATTTATTTCTGTTTAAACATAGTTACATCCTTCTTACTGTTAATATTGAAATTAGATCTTGTTACTACACTGACATAAACCCTTAGCTCAGCAGGGAAAAAGAGACTGTCCATTTCTAAAGGCATTTCAATACTGTTGTGTCTTAAGTGTAGAAGAAGCTGAATAAATGATCAGAGACTTGCCCTGCCTTTTTCCATCATACCATGGTAACCAAACTGAAACACTGAAATTTTGAATTTCTTTAGAACTCTCTTAGTCGTTTGAATTCTCAAAGTAAAACTGCTGACACCCAACAGAGTGTATCACAAGGAATCTTGCATAGGAAAATGCTATTCTTAACTGGTAGTATTTTGTTGTCAGAACTGACGAAGCTCCCCTGCCCTTACTTAGGATGTAAAAAAGTAAAAAATGAAATCTGGTTGGAGTGTCTGGTGCTTTGTTCAACAAGTTGGTAATGGAGATGGGCTTATTGTTGTGCTATTTCTCATGCTGATTTCTATGGTTAAGTTGTTCAAGCAATGTATTACAGTTGTATTTTCAACTAACTTTTAATTTACTTTTTATTTTAGGTCAATAAATGGACTTGTTAAAATTATAGAGACGCAAAGATCAAGGTATTAAATGACCACTATTACTAGGTACCAGATCCTGCTTCTTTTATGACAGATTTAAGTATGCTATTAGAGCAGTTTGGGTAAAGGAAAACTACTGAATTAGAAATATTTAACTCAATATTTATTTTACTAGTAAGCATTTAGGTAAAGAAATTTTAGGTAAAGGAGGTTTTTTTTAAAGAGGTAGAAAATGTATTTTTCTTTGTTACTGTTCACATCCTACACTCTAGTATATAACTAGTTTAAAAAGAAATTACTATTAAGAGATAGCTTAGCTTACAGAACTTATCACTAGTGGGCTTTGTTGGACTTTGCATTATAACCATAAATAGTTCTTAGTTACGTGAGTAGTAGATTTTACAAAAGTTTGGATATCAGCAAAACCTGAATTTTGTTCTGAGTTTAATGCAAATATTACTTTTAATTATTAAAGCATTCATGTTTTATTGCCATTCAAAGAGTTAGAGCATTTGGAAAGTTCCTGAAAAATGCTCCTGCAGATGTAGTTTAATTGACTTCAGCATATGCAAAAAATGAAGCAGATTTTTAAGGCAGTCTTCTAGGTAGAAATTCAGAAATTGCTCATAAGTTGTTGACCAGACCTAGCAGTTAAGGAGCAACTTGTAAGGCCAAGTTGTATACCTGCACTGTAATGTTTTTTTCCTGTTGTGTCAATGTCAAGATTTTTCACATTTCCGATGACTGCTGCAAATCAGTTGCTACTATAAAATTTATTGGAAAGCAGTGCAAGTAAGTTAATAAGAATAATGAGGAGGAGAAATAAGAAGGAAAATTAATTACATTGTTTTTGCTATTTTTCATTGAAATTCTGACTCGTGTATTTCTTTTTTTAATAAGGAATTAAATTGAAATGTTATTTCCAGGGACACTAGGGGATCAGTGTATCTTTGAGGCTGCTGGGACTTGTTTGTGTGCTATTATGTCAATTATTTTACTATATTGTGATACGTGTTCCTATAATACAGGTTCCTGTTTTAAGTACTTTTAGAAGGAAAAATAATAGACGTAATCTTAATAAAATACTTGGCTTTTAAAAGTTACTGCCAAGTGTACTTGGAAATTGTGGAGAGAAGTATTTGCTGTTGTTGGCTAATAAGACAGGATCAACAACTGACTGTAGAGTATGTTTTTTATTTGATAAGCCAAGGTTTTGAAGGTGGGTGCTTGTCTGACTTTAAATACTAGCTTGCTTTACGTTTCCAAAAATGTTAAACTTACTTGAAATTCTCTCTGTAGTCTGATCACTGGAAGTTTTATGTCCTGCTGTCATATAGTCACACAATGAAAAGCATCCTCTTAGGTGACTATCATGTTTTTATATAATGATAGTTCTCAATACTGTTCTCATTTATTCAAGGAGGAAGGTGAAGTGTTTACGTAGCTTTGACAACTTCATACTCCTTTCTTGATAACTTGCAAATTCTGTTGAAGAATGCTTAGAACAAGAGTAAACAGTATTATAGAGGGGATCTTGCTGCAAAATTTTATACTTCTGTTAGTTTGTCCTGCCCTGTAATTTCAGTATTATTAAGTTAGTATTTAATAAAGTTGAATTGTATGAGAATAATGCTACTGGCCTTTTGCTGTCTGTAGATGAAGATGAGAATGTTCTGGTAACTCCAAATTAAATTTAACAACAATTTTATTTTGATGGTCATCTTGTATATTTACTCATAGCTTATTTTACTATATCCAAATTGGGTTATCCTTTATTTTTGAGACTTCTGTTATTTACAGTTTTCTTTACCTCTGTGCAGTGTGATGTGTCTGTATATCTATATAGACGGTATATATGTACTTCTATATGTATTAATATGTGAGTGTAGCATGAAAGATTGAAAGACAAAAGAACAAATACTGCAAAGTGATGGAGCTGCAGAGATACAATCGTGGCATTCCATTTCCTCTTGTTGAGTGAACTTTTGGGAACATAATAGTAATATTTAAAAATCTGGAATTTATGAGGAATGGGAAATTTTACCTTTGCCACAGAATGGGGAAGAATATATAAAGGATGATCAGGGCTTAGGAAAAGACATGAAAAAGATCTGCAATAGATTGCTCTGGCTGAAACCAAAGAAGTAGCAACTTACTGGGAACGAACTGATTTTGAGAAAGCAAATCTTAAGTTCCTTGCTCTTCAATTGCAAAGCAGAGTACGGAAATGGTCAGTAAAGTGCTTTGGAGAGGGAAAATGAGCAAACTATTGATAAACAGCTCATAAACGGTATATTCATGGGTCTGACTCCCTAGGAAATCAGTGCGAGTCTGAGGCCAAGATTTTTGCAACAAAAACAAAAAATGGTTTCTGTAAAGATGATTATTGTGTCCAGCACGGTTAACGATTTTGAAGAGGATTTTAAGATTCATGCTTTAAGTCTTAAGCCAGTATCTGTCCATGTCCATTGGGAAGAGTTGCAATATGTGAATTGATGTATCCACATCTGTACCATTCTCTGTCAGCATTCAATTTTGGCTATTAGATTAAGTGGACTCAGGTGCAGTCCTCAGTGACAACTCTTGTATTACTAGTAAATATCCTTCAGTGAATGATACATACTGTCTCTCCCATGATTAAACATTCCAAAAGTGAAATCAGCACAAAAATAATTCATTAATAGGTTATTTGAGAACGTATCTTCTTCAGTAAGGTGGTTTTGTCCCTCAAAAGCCCACATGTAAAAGTGACCAATATAGCACTTTCTTGAGTCTATGTTTTTTCAGAACACCGCTGAGAACAAACAACTAGCACTGAGCTACATAATTAACTCTGGGGAGGTGTTATTTATGAATTTTACATTATTAATCTTTCATCTTAAAAACTGTGAAGCTACTGTCAGATGTAAAAGTTTAATAGTAACAGCTACATTCCCTTTTTGTTTGTTTTTAACCTCTTGTGTTCTTTTTATTTATCCACATATCATTAATTGCATTTATAAAGTTGTGAGTTGCTATTAGCAGTGCAACTTGTTTTTAGTTTGTTATATTGTTTTTAGTAAAAGAGCTTCTTATGCTAGTTTATAGGTAGCTGTTTTTGAAAGTAAATCTGATCAGTGCTATCTGTTCCATTTTACATTTTTCATTTGTCCAAGTTTCAGATGTTAGAGCTTGAATTCTTCATAGTAGCATTTGCCTCATAGTGTATTTCAGTTTTGTTTGCTAACAGTGGCAATGGAATCTACATATATTCCAGGGGTTTGTGTATTGAGAGGAAGGTCTATATTAGTAAATACTAGGGGTGCATAATAATTGCTAGGAAGAACTTCCAACGCAGGGAAAACCAGTTATTGTACAAGTGTCCAGCATGAGGGATTTTATAATCTTTCTTGAAAATTCCTTGTGTTTTACTATATTTTTTAAAACTTGTATTTATGTGCTTTTGTATTACTGTGTTAGTAAAAATTGCATTTCCCAGTAGCAGACAATATCAACCACCCAGATCCAAAAGTAAGGCTGAAGATTGATGGCATTAGAATGACAGACATGAAAACAAACATGAGAACTATTGTAAACATAATTAAGTATACACAATATTTAAATATAGCAAAGCCAAAAAGCTTGTTTTCTTCCCCTGTTTAGAGTTGATCTCTCCAGTGTCTTGGACCTGCATGCTTTTGACAGTTTATCTGGAATAAGGTAGTGTCACAATTTCACTGTATTTTGCTAGAAATAATGTCTGTTGTATAAATACATGGATGAAATAGACACATTCAAATCCTGGCTTAAATTTACATCTGAGTCTCTGTTGGAAGGAAAATTAGTCACTAACAACGATGCAAAGGTAGAGGTTCTCACACTTTCTTCACTTCTGTATTTATCAGCACTGTTGGGCCTCAGGCTGTGGGATCACAAATCCACGCCTAATGCAAACACTGACCTGCCATCAGTGAAGGAAGAGTTTTTACATGAACTATTACAGGAGCTTTACCCCTACAAATCAATGGGCTTGGATTCCATTCACCCAAAGGTGTTGAGGGGGGTGGCAGACGATGTTGTGGGGCCACTCTTCATAATCTTTGAGAAGTTGTGGAGATTGGAGGAAGTCCTAGATGACTGGAAGAAGGCTAACGTTACTCCCAGCTATAAGAAGGTTTCAGAGGTGGCCCCAGGTAATTATAGGCCCATCAGCTTTATTTCAGTCCCTGGGAAAGTTACAGAATGAATGGGGAAAGCCATCAGGGATTCACCAGGGGCAAGTCATTCTTGACAAACCTGATTGCCTTCTATGACAAGGTAACCTGCTTGGTTGATGCAGGGTGAGTGTTAGACATTGTTTACCTGGACTTCTCCAAGGCTTTTCATACGGTTCCCCACAGCCTCCTCCTAGAGACACTGATGCATTTTGGTCTAGACAAGTGGACTGTGTAGTGGGTGGTGAGCTGGCTGACAGGCTGAGCTCAGTGGTGGTAAATATCTTCCTTTCAAACTGTCAACCAGTCACAAGCAGGGTCCCCAAGGGATACGTACTGGACCAAACATTGCTTTATATCTTCTTAAGTGATCTGGATGTTGGGATCAGGAGCACCCTGATGAATTTTGCCAATTTGCAATGAGTGAGGAAGTGGATGCTTTGAAGAGAGAGCCACCCTGTGGGAAGACCTGGTTAGGGTGGAAGAGTGGGATAACAAGAACCTTATGAAGTTCAGAAAAGACATGTGTAAGGTCTTATAACTGTGAAAACAATCCAGGAGTTCAGCAAAGGCTGGGATCTATAGGGCTGGGGAGCAGCTCTGTGAAAGGGACTTGGGGGTCCTGCTGGATAACAAGCTCAACATGAGTGAACAATGTGCTGCTGCAACAAAGAAAGCCAACAGAGTGCTGGTCTGCATCAACAAGGGCATGAGCAGCAGAGATAAATAAGTCATCATCCCATTCTGCTTAGTGTGTGTCAGGCCACACCTGGAATAATGTCTTCAGTTCTGGTCTCTGCTGTAGGTGTTGGAGGGTCTAGAGAAGGGCCACAAAGATGATGAAAGGACTGGGAGGCCTGGCACATGAGGAAGGACTGAGATAATTGGTTTTGTTCAACCTTTAGAAGTGAAGGCTTTGGAGGAGACCTCATTGCCATGTTCTAGTATTTGAAGGATGTTTACAAAGAAGATAGGCTCCCTTTTTACAAGGAGCCACATGGAAAAGACATGGGCTAATGGGTGCAAGTTGCTTCTGGGGAGATCCCAGTTGGACAGATGAGGGAAAATTTTTCAGTGAGAACAATCAGCATTTGAATAATCTCCCCAGGGAAGTTGTGTATTTCCCCAGTATTGGACACTTTTTAAGATTAGGCTGGACAGGGTGCTGAGACAGATGATCCTTGAGGTCCTTTCCAACCTGTTGGTCTATGATACAGTAAATTAACTTAGTGTTACAGATTTAATTCTCAAAAGCAATAGCTTTGTAATTTTTTTTCTGCTTGCTTTTCAAATAATCCTTGTAAAGCATTTTAAAAAAATCAACATGTAATAAATAGACAAGTGATTTTCTCTTCTTGCCTTAATGATTTAGTTGGTGTTTTGTTCCTACCCAAGGGAATATCAAGGGTATAGTACTTCTTCAACTATAAATATTTAAAAACCCAAAGATACTGCTAATCATTATTATAATTGTGTTTATATTTTAAAATTGTAACATTCTAACAGAAGTCATTAACTCGATCTTAACTAGATCAAGCCAATATAAATAACCATATCTATTTTGAGAATGAAACTGATATATCACTTGAAGCATATTCAGAGTATACAGTCTATCTTTGATATTTTAATTTGGAACTGCAATACTGAAGAGTTTATTTAAGTTTTAAAATAATGACATTTGATCTATCCTGAAATGTGATATGTAACTGCTTTTTTTCAGTTTGCAGAAAAAGCTTGAACATATAAGGACAACACATGCACATCTAGATAAGGTAATTACCAAAATGACTACTTCAGTCATTTTTGTGATAACAAGGTTGATCAGAGTAATTACAGGTGTTGCATGCTAATCATGTTACTTTTACAGCAAATTAGAGCAGAATAAAAATTGAGAATATATGATCTTTAAATTTCACATGAGTATATAGTTGATTTTTTATGAGGCCAAGTTGTAAAAAACACTTTTTGAAATTAATATAATAATTATAATGAAATGTTTAATAATGAAATAATGAAATGATAATGAAATAATGAAATAATGAATGAAATGTTTATTCGGTTTGATAATAGTAGGTGAGTCTTTCCATTTGCAGGGCATAATTACAGTAACATTCGAAGTTCCAGGAAGTATAAAAGAAGAAAACTTAAATCTCTTCATTCAGGTAAGTAATACTCGCTGTCAACTGAAAAATCAGTATGGCTTTTTATAGGAAATTTTCCCATGCTATTCTGTATATGGAAATATTTTTCCTTTTCATAGAATCTTCTGTGGGAGAAGAACATGAAAGATAAGACTGGACACACTATGGATGTTATTAGACTGAAGGTTGGTCAGAAATTATCAAAGTCTTCGTTCTGTGCTTTTCCTCTTTCACACCTAAAAACCTGCAATGAAGTGTAAGATACAGGCCTATCAAAGGCGCTACTGGATCACTGTAGCAGTGCAGACAAAATGGAGAACAGCAATTTGTCATTGTTCTGTGCAGAGAGACTGTTAGTTGCTGGCTGGTGGAACAGGTTGAAAGGAGACAGCTTACACAAGCAAACATTGTTCCTACTTGTTTTGAATTGAGAGGGAAGATGTACAGTCCTGGACATCACTGGCAGAGTTAAAAATCAGGATGCAGTTAAATAACTTTTGCATTTTTCACCAGCCTTGTTTTGAAAGGTTCCATCCATCTCACATAAAAATCTCCTTACCTAGGGTTGTAACTCAGATAGTTATTTGTAATTATAATTGTTGACATAATACGTGGTGAATTTTGAGTAACATAGCAATGCAATACCAGTGTGCTCTACACTTCAGGCTTTTTACAGTATTGTCAGACTCTAGTTCTAAAGCCTCTAAAGTATTCATCCTGCTGGGCACTTCACATGTTTTTTAGTAGTGTGGTTTTGAAAGGAATATAGGTGACAATTTAGGATAAGTTTACATTATACCAAGCAGCCAAGTAAATAATTAAAATATGAGAATCAGGTTTGTTATTTGTAAGGCTGTAAAAAATACAAGAAAATATGCTCTGGTTTGTTTTGTGAGGACACTTGTGTGTGTGTCATGGATAACATCATAATTATTTTCATTTTATTGGAAGAAGGATTGTATTCTTGCTCTTTCATCAAGAAAATGAGAATATTCTCCTCTTTCTGACAGAGTAAAATAGCCACTGATGCATTTTAAGCTGTCTGAAAACAGTACTGCTATGCACAAGTACATTTTTATTGTATTGAGCTTTGGAATCAAAGTAGTTCTTTGGGAGATGCAAGGTCTGTGATAAGCTGTATGCTCGCTCTCAGTCACACCAAAGCAAATGAACCCCAGGTAATTATAGAGTGGTTTCCCAAGTTTGTTTCTTTTATATTTATATCTTGCCTCCAGTCATAATCTTTTCAGCACTGATAGTCATAGAATTCCAACTAATTTGTCAAATGCAGACCTTTTTACATTAAATACTTTTGAACTGTTTAGTTGTTTTTTTTTTAGGGAAGTATGAAACAAGTTTTACAGAACATGTTTCACTAGAATATTTTGTAAAGTTTTACATGAAGTTATGAAAACTTTTTTTGTTACAGCTTTTGCTATATGGGTTAATGGAACAGTCTGACAGGCATTCCTTTTAATGCTGTTTCTGGTCATTCCACCTCACACGTGTTTGTGCTTTCTCTAGTATTCAAAGATTCTGTTTCAGATTAGTGAAAAGGCTGAGCATGAGAGCTTAATCAGCATAATCTGAAATCAAACATGTTTGTTTATTTTACATAATCTTTGATAGGCAATCAAACTTTCTTAGATACATAAATCATACACCACACATTTAAAGTGGCATAGTAGCAGGTAACACTTTATTTTTGCTGAAACATGACATACTAACCAAATGAGGAACTGAAGGCACCTTATGGCAAAGTCTTATTCATTAGTCTTTTAAAAAAAAAAGAGATGTGAAAATGGATGTTACAAGTAGAAGTGATCACACTGTGTAGTTATTTTGACTAACTGGTGCATAGTTGCTAGGAATATTTTTCCTTGCTTGGCTTAGCTTCAAAGGTTTTTTTCCCCTCTTAATGTATTTAATTTTTTAAGGTTTGTTTATATCCTAACAGTTATTTTTCTGAAAAGGGACTGGTATCTATTCAAGGCAAATCCCATCAGGTGATAGTCCAGGGTGTCCATGAGCTCTATGATCTGGAGGAGACTGCAGTAGCCTGGAAAGAAGATGAAAAAAGAACTAATAGACTAGTCCTAATAGGTAAGAAAACATTATGTATCTCCTTGTGTGACTTCAAGAAGATGTTCTTTCAGCATGCAGTCTGTGCCATGTCCAGTGGAAAGAAACCAGCCTAAACTGACCAGAATAACAGCAGTGGGTATGTTCACTGGAGCCTTCAGCCAAAGGTTTATCCATGAAGACCTCTATCAGTTCTGTATTCCAGCTGAGAGGAATCAACACTCTCCCTTGCAGTGAAAGGAAGTAAAATTAAGTACTGAAAATTCATAAAGTATGTTGGCATATTTCATTTTATTTTTAACATGCGTTTTTATGAGTATGGTGATGGGAATGGCTTGAATGTTTGATCAAGTATTCAGTAACTGCAAGGAAGAGAATTATAGCCATTAAAATGTGTGAATCTGTTTTTTTTCTGAAAAGCTTGTAATGGCGACGTTGCATATTTCTTATTTTCTTTGTGTAACTCTCTCCTTTGCAAAGTCTTTTTATTACCAAAAAGCCCATGTTTTTCCTCCTTTCCCTTACTTGTACAGCTTGAAGTCTGTTACTACCTGTTCTCTTGTTATCTGCAGCCTAATTGTAATACTGCTGTTTTCATTCAATTAATATTTTCTTTGCTGAAAAGTCTAGCGGGTTGCTACTTGCATGCTTTTTTGTAATACACTGTAAAATATAGTTGTTGTTTTTTTTTCTCTTTACAGGCAGGAACTTGGATAAAGAGACCATCAAAGAAGTTTTCATAGCCACTGTGAGAGAGAAACAGGGAAACAGTTGACATCACACTACGAAGAACATTAAATGCCTGCTTAACCCTGCAAGTTTTTTATGACAGAAAAGACTGGATGAAATGCAGTATACTCCTTTGTTTTTCATCTTGCAATTTCCACAACAGTTAAACCCTGGCATCCTCTTAGGAATCCCAGCTGACCTCTTGTTTAAAGATTAGCTCTTATAGTTTAGAATCAAACACAAAGGATTTGGCTTGTGTCAGTTATGTCAGCAACCCTGTCAGCAATGCATATAGGGAAAATATTTGTTTATGCTGTACATGAAGTATTACAGTAGGAGTATGGTAAATGTTTTTGAAGCCTAGTGCTTTCTCCAGCTAACAACTCTCTTTTTCTACTGAAAATAAAGTGATTATTGCCTGTGATGTAATCACAGTGAAAACTATTTAGTGTTTACTATTAAACTTTCTTAAATCTTTTTCCACTTGTCTTGTAATTTTTGAATGTGTACATCCATCCCAGGTACTGCCAAATCTGTTGTATAAATGAAACTAAAAATATACAGATAGCAGAGGCTCAAGACCTTGGGACAGAGAGGAGCTCTCAAGCAGGATGAGGTTGTGCACTTCTCTATCCCACTTCTCAGGTTCCCGCTCTGCTTTGTCCTCCTCTATGTCCTCACACATAGTTATACTGGTAACAACAGCCAAGAGTGGGCTCTTTATCCTCTTCTCCCAAGAACATTGCTGTTTTGTTTTATATTTAACTATTTTTTTCCTGATCTATTTTTGTATGTCATGCATGAGGCCCTAAGTCTTGTTCTTTTGTCATGCCAAAGTCAAAAGAGTAGGAAGGGTTAGTGACAGAGCTCCAGTAAAAGCTGCTCTGAGTGAACTGATGGCTGGATGCTTTTAGTATTTATGTTACTGATAGCATACATCAAGTATGCTTTTCTCCAGGGAGTTGGAACTAGGTTAAAGTGATGTACAGGACATGGGAGGAGGAAGGCAGGAACTGCTCAGCCCTGTCCTTGGCTACCAGTGCCATGGATGGTGGGGTGGCTGAGGGATGCTCAGAGGGCAAGAGGGGATAGTTGGGGATTAAAATGAATATTGGGTTTACTTGCAGCTAGACTTTGAGAGCTTGGCCAGACTAGGCCCTGGTTATTATTGAATACCAGTTGCCCAAACTACAGGCTTGGGGAGGAGTGGCTGGAGAGCTGCCCAGCAGAGAGGGACCAAGGAGTGTTGACTGACAGCCAGCTGAACATGAGTCAGCAGCATGCCCAGGTGGCATGGAAGGCCAATGGCAGCCTGGCTTCTATCAGGAATCATGTGACCAGCAGGAGCAGGGAGATGATCCTGCTCCTGTACTTGGCCTTGGTGAGGCTGCACATTGAGCACTGTGTGCAGTTTTGGGCACCACAGTGTAAGAAGAACATGGAGGTACTGGAGAGGGTGCAGAGAAGGGCAACTAGTCTGAGCAGGGGTCTGGAGAACCGGCCCTATGAGGAGAGGCTGAGGGAGGTGGGGCTGTTCAGCCTGGAGAAGAAGAGGCTGAGGGGAGACCTCATTGCTCTCTACAACTACCTGAGAGGAGGCTGTAGTCAGGCATGTGTAGGCCTTTTCTCCCTGGTGACCATTGATAGAACAAGAAGAAATGGGGTCAAGCTGCACCAGGGGAAGTTCAGGCTGGATGTTAAAAAAAATTTCTTCATAGAAAGAGTGGTGAGGCACTGGAACAGGCTGCCCAGGGAGGCTGTAGAGGCACCATCCCTGGAAATATTCAGAAAGGGGGTAGATGTGGTGTTTTATAAGATGGTTTAGTGCTTAGGGCTACTACCCCCTGCTACCAGGAGCCCAAGCCCAAACGGCAGCCCTTGTGTTTTCTTTCTCCCTCTCAGACCCACCTGAGCATCCTTACCAGGCTTTGCCCTTCCTTCAGTGCTCTGCAGATCCACATTGCATCCCCATTTGCTATTTACATGTAAAACTGTTAGATACCATCCATCTGTTCTCTGTATTTTACCCTTAAATGAAATTTTACCCAGGTCCAGGTCTACGTTGCTTTAACTGACCATGGGTGAATAGTTACGGGATGTCCAGTGCTAGGCCTGTGCCCCATATCTTTGTCAACCCCTGCCTCTATGCCTCTACATGACATACTTGTCTCCATTTCTAAATACCAAAATACCATATCAGGCATGTGTTTCTCTAAGCTACTACTTATGTTATGACCATAATTCTGCATGGAATGGCAGCTTGGTACCCTCAGCCACT